CGTTTACAATACCTGCAAACAGTCATGAATTCGAAGTCGACAAGAAAAAAAGATTTCAAAATGAAAGCAGATATACGTTTATTTTTTGGTACGTTACATCATGCTCGTTATATCAACGATACATGATCGATTTCTTTACTTCTATTCTGAAAAAAAAAACATTCTGTTATGCTGGTACAGATCAACAAGTGACAGAACAAATTATGATATTTTAATAGGATAATGGCAGGTTAAGTACACTAAATAGACTATTATCAAAGAACGTCTACCATATGACAGTGTCTGATAATTATATAGAAAAGTCATATCATTATCAATTTACTAACATAAACAAGATTTCATACAATCGTTTACACCTATTTTTAGTCTTGAATTGGACAACTATATTTAGTAATCTCTCATTTTGTTTATACGTCTACAATAGTGCAAGACGCGTGCACGTGCACACTGTTACATAGTCTACCCTATTATCATTTAGTCATTTTGAAAAAGAGTCAACAGAAGACATCAACATGGACTAGAGTGTCGGCTTAGTGACAGCTATTTTGCTTTTTTTTCAATTACAAGGAATCATAGATAGACTTGGAAGCTATCTTTCTATTCGTCTTTAAAGCTATCACGATCACATTAACATATTTAATCTATTGACGTTCGTTTCTCGTCGGCTAGACAAATAGGTATCGTTACTCTTAACCATATCTCTCCATCCATAGTTGTTATTAGATCTTTCATATTTTATTTTCCACAGTGTTGTTAAAAGTGTGAGATACAGGACACCAAATATCAACTAACACAGCAGTCAACATACTTGAAACCATAGAAAAAATCTGACGCGAGTTATTTGATCTTCATAGAAATCATTTTGAGATTGAATAATAGAATTGAGACATAATATATATTGTCGTTTCTTATTTCACCTTATTCATTTTACGTATTTTATTTTTTTGAGAATTTATAAAGGTAACTGCATTAATTGATTCAACAACATTTGTAAATTCTCAATTTAGAGTCATCTGATTCGATATGAAGTCGTTGTATCTATTGGTTTTAATCATGGTCATGATTAGAGACACTATCGTTGGTTTCAAGTCATTTGGCACATCAAAAGGTGAAACTAAAAGGATAAAACGTGTAATACTAATCTTTCACTATTCTAGATCAGAAGTCATCAAGTCATGTGAACGCATTGCTTGTTATTGACGTTCAAAATTGTTTTATTAATGGAAATCTTTCTTTGTCGAATAGTCCTGCTCGTCAGGATGGTGCCGAAGTTGTCCCTATTATCAATAATTTAATCAAGACAGTTCCATTTCATGTTATTGTCTATTCACATGACTGGCACCCATGGGATCATATCTCTTTTTTTGAAAACCTCGACTCGCGTAGAAAGTTTTTAGAAGGTGATCAAAGTCGAACAATACACGTATTTGAGGAAGTCACGTATAACGGTCCAAAAGTCAGAACACCACAAATCCTATGGCCCTCACATTGTATACAAGGAACAGAAGATGCAGCTCTACATAAAAATCTGCATGTTGTATCAGGGAATAACGTTATTCATATTAGAAAAGGCATCGATCCTGATATCGACAGTTACTCAGCATTTGCGGATAATAATCAAACTCAGAAAACCGAGCTCGACATGAAACTTCGACAACACAATGTTACACAGGTTTTTGTTGCTGGTTTGGCAACGGATTATTGTGTGTGGGCAACTTCACTTGATGCATTCAATTTGAATTATACAACATACCTTATCGAAGATGCTAGTAGAGGCGTCTCTCTAGACACAATCAAACACCGACTGGACGCTCTAAAACAGCGTGGAGTCAGAATTATTCAAGTAGATCAAGTCAAAGGATTGATTGGCAGTGCTAATGACAAATCTTTGAGTTTTCTATTCATAACTTTTATCAATGTATTGATCTTACTTTTAAAATAAACTTTGAATTAAAGAAAAACAGCTTAGATTCTGTTAAAACGAGGCATAAAATAATGGAACGAAGTTGATAGTACGACTTTTTATGAACTAAAATTAAAAAATATATGTAGTCGTCGAACTGAGAAAGATAAAAAAAAGAGCAAAGCTTAGAAGGATCGTGCAAACTGATTATCACAAGCATCAATATGCACGATGAAAAACGAATTCTCTTAAACTTGAATAGTATTTTAGCACAAACAGGCTCTTCAAGTCTGTCGCACAATTTTCCCTATGGTGTATGAGTAAATTTAAGTCAAACTCAAATTGAAAGTGACGTAGAATTTCTCCGTGATGACTAAATAAATAAACAAAGCCATTCTGGATAAGAACATATAAGTGTAAATGTGGAATGATAGTGAAGGTGAATTACACAAGAATCAGCATTATTCTGGTTTAGAGATATCAGGTTCCGTTCTTAAAAAAGAGGAACCCGCTTAATAATTCGTTTCCATGCGTTTTTGACCGCCCGGGGATGTTTACACATATCTATTCTTTCATTATATGGCACATCACTATGGGCTCACAGGTTTCTAGGAACGAGAACCCGGAACTCGCAATGGATTCCCGTTCCTAGAAACTCCAAATTAGGAGTGACATTTTGACTGTAAAAATACTTTCATAAAGTAGTTAAAGTTAAAGTAGAGATTTTTTCACTAAAACAAAGGTTTTTAAGAAAAAAAAACAATTTTTTATAAAGTTTGACCAAAGGTAATCAGAGCCGAGGAATCCAAATCTGATATCGGTTTTTCGAAATTTTGAAATTTGATTTCGTCACAAAAAAGTTTATTTCTTGAAAGATCTTGCTGCCTTGTAAGATATCACTATAAAATTATCGAAAATCTTATGTGACGTTAAGATTTTTCAAGAATTCCATCATATGATTTAGTATAAGATTTCTGAAACTACGATTATAGTGAAATTAATCTTCTCAATATCTGTTCCGATGATGATTGTCGGTTGAACTTCAACTAAAACAAAAAGGTGAATAATAAAATTCATAGATCCAGGAGACAATTATATTTAGAAAACTTATCAATCATAGAATCAAATTTATATCTAAATCTCGATAAATATACATCGATTATAGTCAATTCATGAAGCTGTTTTCTAATCTCATTGTTCTTTTGTTATCTGAAAATACATGTGAATCTAAAACAACAGTTTAATCGAAATTAAACAAAACAATCTCACACATCTCACCAGTACGTATTTCATAGTTTTTCGTATAATATATAGTAGAAAGACCGGATCTTGCTCAGAAAACATTCTTTTAAGAGTAAATTTGAGGACTATATGTTTGATAACAAATTAACGCCTATTTTTAAATTGTAAAGTTGGATTTTAGCAGCTGTCTCAGTAATCTGACATTCAGGAACTTGTCAAACCGGATAAAAAACTAATGAAATGAAAATATCTTGATTATGAGAAAACGATTGAAAATCACGATAATCTGGCTGAACGTGGTGAAAATTTAGAGATTTTCTCAAATATATAAAATGCATTACGAATATTGCAATAATAATAGTGATATCATTGTTTACAAGATGAGTCAGATGGATGTTAGTCATTGTAAAAAAATGCACTCTTTTCATAAACAAACAAATCCAATATTGATAGAAGGTTACTTTTATTCAATCTATTAATATCTTTTTGACGATTTAGATTTATTTTTAGACAATTACTTTATATCATATTTTATTATTTACGACAATTTTATTTAGATTTTTGAGTTAAGAACTTTTTGTATACATGCTGAGTATCTATATCACTGACAACGATACGATATATGACATATAGAAAAATTATACGTAATAGTTAAAACCCAATGAATGACAATCTGTCAACTAAATATTGAAATTAATTGAAAAATAATTTAAATCTAATCAATGATATATTCACCAAATATCCTAGGCAATCATGGGATAAAATATTTCGTCTCAATGAAAATAATAATTCGTGATATTAACAATAGTAAAAGATGAACATTGAAGCATATTTTAGACAGCAGAAAATTATTTATTTGACATGAAATAGAAAACATTTATAGTTTATCATTTAAAATGCAAAAAAGAGATCATTGCCTCTCCATCTCAATAATATTTCCATATATATTATTCGTATTACACGTTATATCTAGATATTAAGAAAAAATTGAGATGAAACCAGTTTAAAACGTAATATGACACATACACAATTGATTTTTTTTTTCGATGAAATCTCATTGTAATTTTTCAAAATAGTAATTTTTTTTTTGGATTAATGACTATTCTTATTGCATTTGCAATAACTAGAATAAATTAAACATTTAATTATAATCTAAGAAATATTTTCATAGTATTCCTATTGAAATTCTCTATAATTTGATTCTAATTCTCTAATCGATGTATTTTTTTTCCTGAATAATAGTTCTATTGAATGAATTTCAATAGTTTATTCTATCTAGTCAAAACAGTTATGTTAAAGATAATAATCTCGAATATTAATGGACTGTTTTTATTTTATCGGTCAATGAAAAAATTATTTTGAAATAAGAAAGAACAAAGTACAATAATGTTTATTGAACTTATTTTTCTTCTATTTTGATGAAGAGAATCAAACAAGTTATATTTGATCGTATTATATCAATAGTACATCTGTTTTTGTTAATTAATACATGTTTGAATACTCATGTGAGTTAACAGGTTAAAGAAAAAAACAATAATTTAGACATTATTCGTCGACGTAATTCATCAACAATGACACGATATAAACCAGTTAATACTATATGTTTGAAATAAAAGTACGAAGATAGATAATGGTTACTAATAATCGTGAATCGAATAGAAAAAGAAATATCTACGTCATTTGAATCTTATTTTTGGTTATGGTTGACCGAATTTTCCTTTCTACCTACATTCAAATCATATAATAGAAACAAACTTTTATATAAATAGACGAAAAAAAAATAACAAGTTTCATTCATTGATCAAGAAAACAAAAGTATCTTTCGTTATCTAATTCGTCTATTGATATATTAAATATGTTTGGCTACAGTGGTTATGGTGGAGGTTATTCAGAAGGGAGATCAGATCAATGGATTCAACAAAATGTTCCCGGTGGATTAAACAGTAAGTATAGCATAGTTTATTGTTGAAAGTATTAAAAAATTTTTTTTATACTTTCTCAAAGAAAATAAAAATTTCTTATCATCTGTTGTTTTAATTTAGGTGGTTTTGGAGAGCGGTTGGATAATTTCATGGGTGGAAATCCAAATCCAACATATGGTCAAGTATATGGAGGTGCACCTGGAGTTGGAGGTGGCTATGGTTCTGGTTATGGTTATTCATATGGTGGATGGTAATATAATCAGTTCTGTTCAAACTTTTTTCAAGGATAAAAAACATTAATAAATAATTAACTCTTGATTTCTTTATAATAATAATAATAATAATAATAAATATCTTTTAATAAAATGTTCGTTTGTTTGATGAATATCTTCAAATGATTGCGTATACATTTATCAAATCTCTTTACTTAAATGCTTGCTTGAAAGATGAAACACGTTTCTAAAGAAAAATTAGATTCAAATGTTATGTTATCTGATCTTTAATGTATTATATTTAACTAAATATTATTCCACAAGGTCAATGGTATCGTATCGATACATTATCCTTTCTTAATAAAAGATATGGAAAACAAGAGATGCTGACAAAAAAAACGACTGTATAATTTTATTCTGTAGTCGAATCATTTTAAACATTCGTTTAAAGTAACCAAAGAAGAAAGGCAAAAAGAAATGAAATGAAATAAAATACTTATCATTGCTGTTCTCTAAGCGTCTTACATTTAATACGGATTGGTAATTTGGCGTTCGATATCACAACAGAATAGTTTTATGAATGAATAAACCTCTCTATCAAATCTAAATAAGTTAAAAGAAATTTGCATTCTTTTATTTTCTTCGTCATCTTCTTTGTGAGAGTTCGATAATATCCTTTTGATTAAAAAAAAATTCTTCCTATTCTATTTCAAATAATAAATCTCTATGACTATAAGAAAAATTTATTCGTGAGGAATAGATAGTACTCATTTTGAGTGAGAATATATGACAAGTCTTCTATTTAATACTAATGAGAAATGAAAAAAAAAGAACGTTCACAAGTAGTTCATCTCGTTCTTTCTTCATATATAAAAAGTGTTCTAAGGAGAAAAAAGACTACTGTATTTTTCAATTAGAAGTGGCTTATTTTTGGAAACATGCAAAGATATTCAAAAAAAAAATTTTATCATCCTTAAATCCATATAAACATATTCAGCTCAGAAATAAAGATAATAAAATGTATGTTGCTTGTAATCGGCAAATGTTTTTTGCACTGTTTGGTATTTTTGTAGCTTTCTGAAAAAAGTCTTCAACTGTCACTAGACTTCTGTATCCTACATCCCTGTTTATTTTCATTGTTTTTCATTTGTCATGGCCTACCGAGTTAAAATTCAATCAAAATTCTTAGAATCTGGTCTATTTTCATCGGAATCATCTAGCCTATTATGACAAATACTGATTTTTGTATCAGGCAGGATACGGTTTATTTGTTAAAGATTACAAGTTGAGCTGCTTCAGTTAGGGAAGTCTCTTTTCAAGAAATAACATTTTCTTTTTTAATATTTGACTAACGATTTTTGATAATGATAGTTTCGATAGATTCTATAAAATCAGACAGTCGAATTCGTTGGTGAGTTTTTTCGAAATACTAAAGAGTTAGATTATTAGAATTAATATTTCTAAAGAAATTGATCTATAAGTTTATTTTAGTGTTTAAATTTTAGAACACTTTGTTGTTTTTAACACTTACTTCAATTATCATACATAGGTTGTAATAAAAGTTTAGTATCATACTTGTGTTGTTTTTGTTGATTGATATTACTCTTTGTATTCAAGTTATTTAACTCTTTGATTATCGATAAAAGATAAACATACGTCAGTAGAAAACTTCTGTTGCTTGACGTAGACATTTATTCAAATACATCTAATAAGCATATATTATACATGATTGCATTAGTTTTAAGTGATGGTTAAGTTCATGCCGCCTATATGCGTCGTCAATAACCAAAGGTTTAATGTACGGTACACAACAGCAATTATTTGTCTGTCCATTTTCGTGTTATGTTTAAAGGTGCAGTAGTTCTTTCACAGCAATATAGTATAAAAAATGATGGACAATATATTGGATGGCAAGTAGTACAAACTGGTGTTCATGTTATAAGTATCTTCTTGGTACTATTATGGAATATGGTGCAGGTTTTCAAGTTCATACAGCTTCTGGGCGATTATTAAGTGAAGATCTATATATCTTAAGTTTTAGTATTAATAACAATGCATATTGTAAACTTAGCATCTAATTTAATAACGTCAAAATCAAAAGATATTATTTCTGAAACTGATGATATTAAAAATGAAAAAATTACTATTGAGTCGTATTGGTATTTTTGAGAGGTGATTATTGAAAGACTTTTATTTACATGAAATTTCTTAAGACAGTCAAAATTTTTACCCCTTTAAATCATAAAATGAATTATATGGCACCTTATTAAATAATGTTATTGATGCATCGATGTTAGACATTCGTTTTTCTGAGAGTATACAGATAACAAAATCTATTGTAATCTAACTCTTGTTGGAATAAATTTTAATCGTAGTGCATATAGCTTTTGCTATTTCTAAACAATGGTTATATGCAAAAGACTTAGATGCCATTATATTATCATTAAGAGAACCAAGTATTCTTAATGATTTAAAAAGAGAATATTTTGAAGGAAATTTTGGTCAAGATTCATTTTCATTGAGTACTTCTACTAGTATAAATATTGTATTAATGAATGATTTATTTCTTACTTTTACAATCATAAATATTCTATTCTTATTATTATTTGCATGGACGAAATGATTTGTTCTAGAAAATTATCTATGAGTATTAACATAAAAAACGAACTTTTAACCAAGTAAAAGATCTTGGAGATAAGCCGTTAAATCAAAACTTTTTCTAAGTATACTCACGACTCTCTAACAGCTTTGCCGGATGTAGTGTGATTTTAGTCACAAAAGAGGCTTTATGTGAATGAACTATCCTACATCATTCATTTATAGAACCGGCTTTTCTTTTGTAATTAATGAAAGACAAGAAAATTTTCTGACAATTCATGTTGTGCATAATTCAAGACAAATCAAATAATTGTTTCGTTGTCTTTCTACATTAATCAGTATGCATCCATTTTGTAGTTATCGATCACTTCCATAGAATGATTATTGAAATCATTATATATCTAACATGTAGACAAAGTAAACTACAATAAAATATAATTTAAGCGATAATTTTTGAGCCAATTGAATGTAGAAAAACGAGTGAGAGAAGAGGATCAATGTGACAATTCAAGTAATGTCTAGTACGTAGATGTAAATCTAACATCATCTCATCAGATCCTAAGTATCATCGACGGTTTTTCACTTGTCAGATTTGACAAGTGACAATTTCCTATTGAAATCTGAGTCTGGAGATTATTCGATTTGTGCAGCACGAAAAAGTAAAATTTATTTTCTGACATCGGTCGAGATCCACAGAAGAGATAAAAATATTTTTTTTTATCACTAAAGACTTCTGTCTTCATTGAAAAAAATAGAAAACTACACTAAAAATGTATTTTGTCTATATAGAGGTGAATGACATTTTACTGTTAATTGTACAACTACTAAGTTAGAATTCAAATAAATTCTTTTTAAAATAGAGAATATTTCGAGGTTGTATAGCTCAGTAGTGTGTATACACAACTTCTGATCAGTTTTCCTCATGTTCAAGTATAACTTTAATCATTGAAGTACTTTTTTATTCCAGTTTCTAGGATAGGTTACAGTCATTATAACATGACTTTCGTGTCACCTCTAGTCGAATCTGTAATAGAGTATGGTTTAGCCTTTGAATTTTAAATATCCAATCTAGAACGTGACTTATTGCATAAATGCGTTCGAATCTGGTTGAATTTCAAAACACGTTTCGAATGCACATAGAAGATGATTCTGGCAGATTAGACTCAAAAAATATTTATATGGGTATTATGATAAATCCTCTTCTCGAGAGGATTTCAATTTGCTCTTTAATTTTTTATTGATGATATTTGAAATCATAACATTACTCTCGGGGAAAAACATGATTTATCCATCATTACATAATGATAGACCCTAAGAAAGACAAAAAAAAAAAGTTAATTTGATGTTTTGAAAATCACCATACAAATCAATAAATCTCATCGCAAATGATTCTATCAGAGTCAGTACCGCGTCGATCCATTTACCAGTTATCAGTGCTATCCAGTTGAGTTTTTATAATCGGCCGATTTTTTACTGGTCTTTAGTGGTCTGTTTATCAAGTCCAAAGTTTTCAACCAAAAAACTTCCAGTTGTCATCAACATCTCAGCTTTAAATTTTGAAATCAGACTTTTTCATTCTATAACGATAGCCACAAGAGTGAGAGAGCAATGGCAAGGATCTTCTTTTCTCTTTCAATTACAGCTCATTCCTCACTCTTTTCTTACCCGACTGTTGTTCTCATAATCAGTTGTTATTCATAAAGTATATCCGATTATATTTCATATAGAAAAAACCCTTCCAACAGAGTATATTTCTATCAGAGCCTGAAATGAACCGGAGTTTTCGGGTTCGGGTTCGGTTCGGTTCAGTTCAAATCGTATCTATTCGAAACACCGTATAATAATGCTGAACAAGTGTAATGAAATCGTAACTTCTAGTAACCTTACTGCCTATCAAGTGATGTTTTTGCTCTGAAAGAATAAGAACACTTGTGCACTAATTTGAAATGTTTTTTTTTCAATTTTGTTCCTAAATAGTACGTTGACGACTATTCATCGCGTTGAATACCAATGAGAAAGAAAGAAGAAAATAGTTCGTTATGAATTAGCTTGCGACCGATTAACTGATCGTCACAATAAACAACGAATCCTATTGATTACAAGACAAAATAGCAAATCCATTATGCTAAAAACTATTATACTGTATAACACAATGAATAAAAACTCGTGGCAGTCCTCACCAGCTCAATACATTCTAAGCAAAATATATTGTAAAGTGGAAATGATTATTTTTGCTTAGATTTGGCTCAACTAATAGAAAAGTCGGAAATCAGTTTGGCTTCGGTGCGTTTTCGAGCTCGACACCACGATTCTTAAAAAAAAACATCAGCTTGAACGGTTTACACTTTTTTCAGACATTGGTATTATTTGTCATCAAAAATATCAACTAATACTTTAAAAAAATGTCGATTTTAATATATCAGAGCATAGAATATTACATGACGCGGACTAGTGTTGTAGCGCCATCTTTAATCAATAAAACAAACCTTGAAGTTGGACGAAAACAGCCGATATAGGTAGTACCAGCAGCTTAACCACGCTCATGCTTATTAGTGTATACGATTTTGGTTGATTTCAGAAATGTTTCTAAGATTTATAAAATATTTATGCAGTGAAAGGGAAAAAACTTCAAGCACAACAACTACGATTAATCGATGATTTTCAATCAGTTATTGTGACATAGTAATTTACCGTAGATTTAAATTGCTCCGTCTTCTAATATATTATTAAAGATAAGGTTATTTGACGAGAAGCAGGGCAAATAATATATTTTTGATATTAGCTTTTTTTTTGTTATTTTTTTTTACTTTTTTCTATGTGTAAGACGACTTTCTTAACTATTCAAATATTTCAATGACTCATACTCTGTCGATACTATTTTTTTTAATGTTCTTTTCTCTCATAGAAACTATAAAGAGAGGTAAGAAGCACAAAAATAAAAACAAAAATGTCTTCAACAAATAACCAGCATATAGCTCGATTCGTAAGCGAGCTAAAGACTGGTTCACTATTAACAAAAAGAAAACCTAATGGTGATCAATATTCTCGTCACTTCTTTCTTGATGAATATGAACATTTTATATCTTATCATCAATCTGAAAAAGTATTTGCACAACCAAATCGTTGTAAGTATTAATAGAACATTTTCATTTTCTTTTTTTTTTGTTCAAAATTATAAATTATTTCAAGAAGTAAAGAAAGGAGGTCGTTAATCGATGAAATCGATCACCTTCCAATATACAATTCGAATGTCGAAAGCCAATTGTTGTTTGGATTAGACGGTTAGACTTCATTCGGACTACGTGCGACTCACTCAAAACTCGATATTATCTATATTTTACAGGTTCATGCTATGTATTGTTTCTACGAAAACTTTTCTTCTTGTCTTCAACTCTTTCAATTTGATCAAATGTTAAATGAAAACTCCTTTTTTTTTGTCCTTCTATTGAATGACACATATAGGAGTATGTCAAAACTTTGTTCTTTTACTTTTTTCTTTAAATGACGCCGTTCGCTTGTATGTACAATATGACCCATGTAAAAAAAAATGATACGAAAAGATGGATTCTAAATCATTTAATCGCATACATCTTTAATTCATTATAATCAAAAAGTAATCAAAATTTCATCGATTACTCCAATTACTTCTCATTAAAATCATATAGAAATCGCTTATAATTAATGTAAAAACAAACAAATGGATGAAAATTTTACTGCTTATAATCACACAAAATCGATTAAAAATCGTTTTTTTTTAAATTTTTATATGATTTCTGTTTACATGAGAAGGATACACATTAAAAAAAAAACTTCTTCACTATTGGCCTGTGAAAACTGTGATTCACTTCGAATTATATATCATTGGATAGACTTTTCAAAGTTCTACAAAATGATTATGTTGCATTAAGCTCAATTTGTGATCAAGCACTTTAGTCAAAAGTACAATATTCAAGAGTTATATTTGAAATTAGCATAAAAAAAATCTGAGTTGATCTATATGTATCATAAAATCCTCTGATAACTTTTATTTTCGTCCAAAAATATAGCTCTAGCCTTTATCAAGGTTATATTAGAACATAAAGTCAGTCAAAATATCAGTTTTACTATGAAAAGTCACTTCTAAATTTTTAAAGATCTAGCAAAATCCAAAGCGACGGATCAATAAATAATAAAAATGATGTTTCGGCTGATTTTATTTTTCGACATAACCTTGAGGAGAAATAAAGATAAAGTTTTGGACGAAAATGAAAGTTATCAGACGATTTTACGATACATATGGATCAACTCAGTTTTTTATATTGTATCCAAATAGGTCATTTATTTTGATAAGCAACGTGATTATTATGACTAAAATCAACCAAAAAGAGTAATTTTTGGCACTCTTAAACATTGTGCGTTTGACTAAAGTCTCTTGACCACAAGTTGAACTTAACGCAATAGTTTCATTTTGTAGAGCTTTGAAAAGCCATTTACTGTACATACAAACGAACAATGTCATCTAAAAGAAAAAGAGAAAGAAAAAATATCGGTAATATCGAGTTTTGAATCACACGCGCACAGTCGGAATGTCTAATTCGAACGGCAATCGACTCCTGACATCAGAATTGACTATTAGGAAAATAAGAGATTCAGTCTAGAGCAAGGAGGAGTGGATATACAATTTCATCACTTAACGATTTTCCTTCTTTGTTGCATAAAGTCTTAAGAGAATAGACTAGTGAAGTAGTTTGATTTTAAACAACTAAACGTATAAGTTTAAATGACAATTTATTTAGAGTAAATTGAGATTTGTAAACTATTTTGCAAGGTTGCTATTTGAAAAATGAAATAATAATTATATTTATTATTTTTTTAACTGAGAAAACTGATGTCTATATTTTAAACGTAGATTATATTCATAAAATTAATGAAATTCGTCCTGGTTTGCAAACACGAACATTTGATCGACTTTTCAGACATAAGATTGTCGAACAAGAGGATGTAAGTAACTAAATTTGATTACATTGTATAATATTTTAGTAGATGTTCTATAAAGAATTCAGTTGTTTTATCTTTAAATTAATCTCTATTATTTTTCAATAAACAAACAAAAATTTCCTAGTACACCTGTGTCTACAACCCTGTATAATATATGAAATGATGAATATTGATGGCATATTTGTCTATAAAGTCCAATTGTAAATCTCTTAGATTTTCAAACCAAAATCTATATCTTAATAAATTTTTTACTATGAATTCTATTGTATTCTATATTGATTAATTTAATATATTAAAGAGTGTGACTAGTATAGTATAGATATTTATTGTTTACATATATATACATATGTTTCTAAAATGAATGACATATAGGAAAAACGTGCTTTCTCTCTCTTCTACAATAATTATCGAGATGAACTTCATTTAATGGCAAATGATGGACAGACGAGAGATGCATGGATACAAGCTTTACAACATCTGATACATACACATACTCAAAGGCGCCAACGACATGTCATTACTGAAACAAAGTAAGAAACAAATTCATATTATTTTATACGTTAGTAATATTCATAAGTAAAATATTTTATTTTATTAAATAATATGATATATATATATATATTCGTTTGTTTAATTCTTTTTTTTAATTTATCTGTATCTGTTTTCAGTAACATAAAATGAAAAGAATAATGATAAGTTGAGATATGCAACAAAATCATCAAGGATAGACACTGAAGAACTCTTGCTTATACTTTTATTTATTTTACGGATTATCCAGTCTTCTCATATCTACCTCGTATACACATTGATGTTAAATATTGTATCACTTTCATCAAAAAGAAAACATTCATATAATCGAAAAAAAAACTTTTCACATGATGAAACGAACATTAATATGAATGTTTATTGATTCTTTGAATCCATGAGAAGATGAGAGATAGAAAATGAATACATTAATTAGCAAATGTGCATGATTTATCGTACACAAAGTCACGAATATGAATAGAACTAAAGTGCGCTTACCATATTTTCACAGAAACTCGAGCAATAAAAGTAGATGGTTTTACAAGTGACAGTCAGTGAATTTCGTAGCATATCATACTAAAAAATTTCATTCAAGAATCCTTATTGTCATTTACTTTTTGATCATATGATATTATAGTGGTCTTTAAAAATTTATCAGAGATAATTTATTTTATTCATATCTCAAATAAAAATACCAAGTACTTTTTCCGTACTTAAGTATAAGTACAAAAGTATTTTTTTGTGAAACACGATCTAAAAAGAGTATTGAAGTATATAGAGTAAAAGTTTACACCTTTCCTCTCCCCCGCAGACTGTGACAGACGCTAGTTCGAGACTGTCATAGGCTAGGACAAACATCTTAGCAACGCTTCCTCCGTCAACAATCGTGGCAGACGTTGCTGATACTTCTAGACTCAAAGGATAGGATCTGAAATAGAAATCCACCTGTGTCTGTCTGTAACATGTGATATAAGTGACCGCAATGATGGTACAAATGACCATATCCATGGTAGAAATGACAATATCGATGGTATAACGGCTCACAGCCATGATACAAAGGACCATATCGATGGTAAACAGACTCATAGTAGGCGGTACAAGTGACTAAAGTCATGGTCAAAGGATCATATCAATGATACAGATGCGCACAGTCATGTTATGAAGGACCATATTGATGGTCCACAAAGTCACAGTCATAGTACAAGTGACCACATCGGGGGTACAAAGACCCATAGTCATGGTACAAGTGACTATATTAATGGCACAATAGACCGTATTGATGGTATAAATAACCAGATATTTGGGCACTTGTGTCAGCTCGTTTGTCAGCGACCAAAGAGAGAGCACAAATAACCGAAAATATTGCAAAAATGTTTAAAATTTTAGTACAACGGTGATAAATATGATCGAAATGACCGTAGTTATCATATGGTTATTGTGTTACAGATAGGCAGACACAGGTGATTATCCATTTGTAGACTATTATGTCAGTCTAGGATGAAGCGAATCGACTAATGATGAGCGTTACTTGTATCAATAATGTCTCGTTATAATAAATGAACAACTTCCTGATTGAATTTCTGAAGGATTAAGTAAAATGATAATGAAGATATTGGATCCCAAACTATATAGAATAAAATAGTCTATCTGTAATTAGCAGAAGCAGCTACATTGTGTTTTCCATTTTAATCCCGTAGATATAGTGCTAACACCTTTCTTACTCAAGTACCAGTACAATACTTCTATTTTCGGTAATTGTATTTGTTCTACTTCTGAATAGAACATATACAAATAAAGACAGAGTTTTTGAAAATGAAAAATATAATTAATAATAATTCTTTGTTTTTATTTTAAACATAAAAATTGTATTGTTGTATGCTTGAACAGAATATACGAGAAAATGAGAAAAAAAAACAAAAAGTTTTTTGTATTTCTCTCGAATAATTTTACTATACTATAATTTCAAGTTACAATTGTTATTCATATTTCTTTTAATTAGTTGGATTTTGAATTATTTTTACTTGGCTGATAAAGATGGATCTGGTACCTTGACAAAAAACGAGTGTCGTCGACTACTTATAGATTCACTCAATGCAAAAGTGTCAAAAAATGCTTTTGAAACACTTTTCAATGTATAGAAAATCTGAATTTATCATATTTATCTTATTATTTGATTATATTTTTTAGGCGGCAGATACAAGTGGTGAAGGAGTTTTGACACCTGATGAATTTGTAAATTTATTCTATGTACTTACTCGTCGTAAAGATCTTTATGCAATAATGCAACAGTAAGTGAATAAATATAATTTAATCATTTAAATTAAAATTGATTAGTAAAGATATGTCAAAAATGGTCATAAACAATCTATGGATACGATTCGTATGAATATTGATGAACTTTTATATTTTCTTCGAAATATTCAAAATGTAAATTAATTCAATTTTATTTATTTATATAAAAATTAATATCTTTTTTGTTGTTTTTTTTCTCTATTTAGCAAACAATAATAAAATATCAATCAGATGAATGTACATCTGATTATTCACTTGTTTCAGTTACTGAACGTGAACAAGTACAAGAATTAATTAATGAATTTGAAACCGATGTTGAATTACAAGAAAAAGGTCAACTTAGTCTTAATGGTTTGTATTGTTTACAAAGAATGAATATTTATTTCATACGTAAAATAGATTCATAAATTGAGACTAAGATCTTCTCTCTCCTCCAAAATCGATTTTCGATATAGTCTATGGGATTTGCATGAAATTTTCTGAAAATACACTAATAAAAAAATTCTCAAGACTCTAAATCTTAGTGCTTAGTAAATTTTCAGAAACCATAGTAAAAATCTTTTTTCAATATACTTCAAAACTACAGCGCTTGGCCTACTCTCATTTCAAAGAGAACTTCTTATTCCTTCGAATAAGAAAAGAGTTTTTTTATTTCATTTTTGGGATTCTTAAAATCTTAAAACTCAAAAAACCATAGGCGATGTTTTCTAGAAAGTTCATGATTGCTTTGGTATGAAAGGTCGAATATAAAATTTCTTTCCCTTATACGAGAGAGAATGCATCTATCAATCTATCGAATAAATAAACCACACTTCACTAGAACGAATTTTATCGAAAAGAACTATGTTCAGAATTCGATAATTTATACAGAAAGCCGTTAGCACCATTCTTGTGAGATTCAAATATGAAACACTATGTAGCTGCTGTTGTTAATCATAGAGAGATTGTTTAATTTTACCCATTTTGGAACTCATTTCTCCATCATCCTTTTACTTAATTCTCCAAAAATCCAATAAGGAAATGGATCATATATCGTAACAAGCCGTTATTGATATGTGGTCTGTGATCGTAATCGACAAAAAACACGTGAACTTTTTTTTCTGTATATTTACCTGAAGAACTTTCTGACATGAGCATCAAATATGGTTACTTAAGTACCAATTAAAAATTCATCTACAGTCTTATCCAGTGATTTCCTATCTACATGTTGGACTATGGTAAGAGGTCATAACTGCAATAATGCTTTTAATTTTTCGATGGATATGGTATAGGTCTTTTCGTTGGAGAATTCTAGAAACTCATCATTATTTCTGAAGAAATCTTTTAGAATTGAAATTCATTTTTAGAAATTTTCAAACTATCGTCCGTTTCAAAATAGAAGGCAGGCTGCTATTTTCTGAATAACTTTCGCTCAGTACAAGATATAGATCTGGGATTTTCACCGTTCGAAAGAGCGATGTCTAAACCATCGATCGGGATAGAACTCATTAAGGCGAAAGCTGCTTTTTTTATAGGTACTTTTCATCACTTTTCACAAAAATCTCAAGTTAAAATGTAGCTCAAATCATCCTTTTTCTCGGTATAAAATTAATATTAGTTTTTTAAAATCCGCTTAGAATAAGAAGTTGAGAGATAATGTAATATGTGATAATTTTATAGCGAAAAAAAGGGTAATTTGAGACACATTTTGGTATAATTTGACTTGAGATTATTGTAAACAGTGATGAAAATATTCAAAGGCAAAAGTGTTGATTCAAAAGTGCTTATAAAAAAAAAACATCTTTCGTCTTAATGAGGTCTACAATATAAAAAATGTTATATAAAAGTCACAAATCGATTTTTAATCGATTACAAATCATACACCTTTAATTAATTACAGTCAAAATATCGAAATTTCATCGACTATTCTGATTATTTTTCATTAAAACCTATTTAAAATTATACCATATTTTTTTTATTATAATCAGTTTTTTTACATGGGCTATATATTTATCTAAAAAAGTCCTTTTTTTTTAGAATGAAGATGTCTTAAAGAGAAATAAAAAAATGATTTAATTGTAGGCTTTAGAAACTTATTATTATCCGACGAGTTTTCTGTGATGAAACCATGGTGTTCTCGTCATATTTATCAAGATATGACAAGGTATATTAATGAAAATAAATCTTTAAATAATAATTTTCTTATTATTTTCATTTTTTAGACCATTGAGTGATTATTATATAAACACATCACATAATACGTATGATTAAATTATCTTTTTTAAAATAATAAAATAATATTTGATTTTTATTTTAGTTATCTATTTAATAATCAAATATCTGGAACTAGTAATCCTGAAGCATACAATCGAGTATTATGTTCAGGTTGTCGTGCAGTTGAAATTGATTGTTATGATGGTGCTAATGGTCGACCAATAGTTAAACATGGCTATACACTTGTTCAACCATGTTTATTTGAATCAATTATTCGTTTTATAGAACCAAATCTTTTTAAAATATCACCATATCCAGTTATACTTGATCTTGAAAATCATTGTTCAATTGAACAACAACATGAAATGGCTCGTATTTTAAAACAAGTTTTTGGAGGTAAATTTTATAATAATTAAATCTAAATAAAAATCTTATTTTTTTCGAAAAGATCGATTAATAACTGAACCATTATCTACAAATGATTCATCAGTATTACCATCACCAGAAGATTTGAAATATAAAGTTCTTGTTCGAGTAAATTAATATTTTCAGATAAATAAATTTATGACGATATATATATATATTTATATTATATAATAATTGTATATTAGGGTGTAAAAATACCAAAAGCGACAACACTTTTTAAATTAATCGAACTAGGAGAAATTGATTATGGTAATAATCCTCTCAATCCACAAAGCAAATTATGTTTATTTATTGTTGTTTTAATCATTATTTATTTTTAAAATTTTTATTTTAGGTTATTGAACATGATTTAGCTGGACTTTTTATTTATTTTCAAAATATACCCTTCCTTCCAAATGAAAATGATAAAGATAATTGTGAGTAAAAAAAAAAAAAAAAAAAAAAAGTATTTTTCTCTATAAAAATAAATCTTTTAATAGATTCATGTTGTCATTCACCAAATCTTTCTGAAAAACATTTCGATCGAATATTAGAAAATGATCCATTAGATTTAATTAAACAAACAGGAAAAAGTGTATTTCGAATGTATCCACATGGTTTAAGACAAGATTCAAGTAATCCTGATCCAATAAATGCTTGGAATTTTGGTATTCATATGGTTGCATTAAATTTTCAACATGATGATTTAATGATGTCATTATCATATGGAAAATTTATTGATAATGGTGGATGTGGTTATATACTTAAACCAAAATATTTAATTAATGCATATAAAATAAATTTTAATCCATTTGATTATTTAAAAAAACCATTAATGTTACCAGATAATATTATTGAACATCCTCAACGTTTAACAATAACAATAATTAGTGGTCAATTTTTATCTCGATCAAATGAAACAACACAAGATATTCCAGATCCATATGTTGTTGTATCAACACATGGAATATTATGTGATCAACAAACACAAAAAACAAAATTTATAGAAAATAATGGATTTGATCCATTATGGAATGAAACATTTCAATTTAATATTTGTTTTCCACAAATGTGTCTTGTTCGTTTTGATGTATATGATTATGATGTATTTACAAAAGATGATAGAATTGCTTATTTTTGTTTACCAATGACAACTATGCAAACAGGTAATTATTTAATGAAATTAATTATCAAAATTTTTCTTTTTGTTTTTAATTTGAATTTTATCTCTAGGATATCGTCATGTTCATTTGAGAACAAAACATAATAATCTAACTTATTCAACATTGTTCATACATGTTACTATTGAAAACAATTAAGATTTATACAGTTTTTTGTTTTTGTTGCAAAACTTTCTAATTTGCATGTATCTTATACGAACTTACTAACACTGCACTCTATATTATGCGCATGCCATTCTTTTCAAATACTAATTTTCTATATATTTTATTAAACTTATTTATATAGAATAAAAGAGTAAAAGAAGACCAGGAGATAGCATACATGTCAAATTTGAAAGTTGAATTCAATTATTCAATAA